AAGCAACCTTATCTCTGTATCAATAAGACAACTCTATATGCCAAGCAAGGTTTATATCTAATCCTTTCATCATGCTGATTAAATATGTGTAGGTGACAGTTGTAGGGTACTGGGTATTAAGGGAATGTAAACCCTTTTTGTAAACCTATACTTAAATACTAATCTCATCATAAAATACTTGTAATTCAAGCACTTTTTGAATCCCGTAAATAAAATACATTTGTGTAAAACCTATAACACGAGTCTGCCCCAGTTTTTTCCACCTGTTATACTTATTTGGACTTTTTAGTATGCCCATTCAGGTTTCGAGTACAGGGTACAGCAAGAAAATGAGCAACAAGAGCTTTCAGAGCTCTATAGGAGCAGCAAGGACAGTTTCTGCATAGCATGTTCCTAAAATTTGCCAGCTAACAACTTCCTGCACTTGAATAAAAGTTGCATTTTATGGCTTGCAAACAACATTTTGTGATAAATGGCACTGCAAGTGCATGGAAATTAGTAAAAGAAAGAATCGCATTAAATACAAATACGTAATGGTAGATACAATATCTGTATACACACAAGTAGAACTCGATATGGCTTTAGGGCTGCTGCTAAGCCGTTTATCTTCCACGCACTGACATTATTGTTGGCCATGGTTGCTACTGGCGCCGACGGGCGTTTTGTCTGCCGACTGACAGGCAATAAATTAAGGTTCGCAAGCAAGGGAAAATTGCTACGGCCTGGCCTAAAAATAAACAGTTGATAAACAAAGAGAAAGAGAAAGATTGCTGCAAAGCCTACTTCAAAGGTGTGCTTAAGTGTGTACGCCGACTAAAGCCGCTAAAAAAGTTACCTACAGCAGTGGTCTTGAGACGGGTCGGACCGGGTCGGACCGAATCGGTGAAATGTTTGACAGCCGATTTGGGGGCCACCTCAAGATCAAAGGGAAACGAGGCGATGCCGGACACAGTTTATTGAATGAACTTTGTTAACAACAAATTACAGTGGCTTATGCTAAGCCGCACGACAGAGCTGCACGGCCAAAGAAAAGAGACGGAGTACTTGGCCGAAAGTGAGGGAAAGAACAACAAGAACAGGAATGGTTTTCCTATTCCCGACTGCTGTGAGCTAAAATACAGCCAAAAGGGGTGTGGCTACTGAAAAAAGTACTTTTGCTATAAATCTAATGTCAGTTCCTTAAAGTTGCAGTTCAAAGCGACTTAAGCTTTGAATATAATGAAGGACTAATTTATTTTGCAGTTGGCATAGAAGCGATCAGATATTAATATATTTGCCTAATTTTGAAACCAATTCGTATACAAATAACAATGCATTCTTATAACTTTTCTATAATTATAAAGATTTACAATTGTATATTTGTTTTTACATTTCTAACAGCCTGCGGGAGTTTCTCGTTTCTTGTTAGAAGACTAACTCTAAGTTCACAAATAATATGTAGAATGTGGCTTCTCCAACCCCATGAAGTATATATATTCGTAATGAGCATTCTTTTCTACATTTCTAACAACCTGAGGAAGTGTTGTTGTTTTGTTTCTTGTTAGAAGACCAACTCTAAACTAACCAATAATATGTAGAATGTGGCATCGCCGACTCTATAAAGTATATATATTATAAGTATATATATAAGTATATATATAAATGAGCATGGCGAGACGAACCGATAAAGCCATATGCATCTGTCTGGATGAACGCCTAGATTCTGTAGACGGCGGAGTCCAAATTGACCAAATGTGAAGGTCAACACGACTTTGGTTTAATTTATTGATTCTTCCCCCTCCCCTCCCCTTCACAATGCTACCAAATTTCTTCAATACTGTCCACAATTACAAATTTCAATTACTGTTCAAAAAAAAACTGGGTACTTGGTCAGTTCTAAAAAAAGTTATTCAAATTCACTCTGCAGGAGGCAGGCTCGCTCTTTCTTCTTTTCGCAACAGAGCATACAACAGAGCGCCGAAAGTTTGCTTGGGTACAGGGTATTCCTCAGTTTGGCTTGCTCGATTTTTGTATAACGCGGAAATAATTATTATTAACCATAGCAGAGCAAACTAATATTTCTTAGAATTGAAAATAGTCCCACTGTTTTTGATTTGTGACTTTTTGCTGCTTTCATGCTATCAGAAACGACATTTTCGTTGCGAGCATCATGGCAGGCATTTCGATTTTGTCATTCGCCGTGGTCCTGACGATTTGCTGTTCGGCTCTAGCCTGTAGGTATTTGTAATTTACTTTTAATTGGTAATTAATTATTTTATATATAGCTTGCAGTGAGTCGCAGTATAAGTTCATAGGTGAACGGCCCACCTATAGGGAATTGATGGAGGATGTGGGAGAGATGCTTGCCAACAAACACACTGCCGCCGACTCACTAATGTGGAAGTCTGCCTTTAGTTATGTTGTGAAAGTTGCTTTACAGTTGCTCTTTCAGTTTTTCTTCAGGATTTGAATACAAGATTATGTTTTTTTAATAAATTTGTTGGCTTGTTTTTGTCACTGTCACTATTTATTTTGCCTACGAAGTAGATCTGATCTCTTGATTCAGGTAGCCTTATCCGACCGAGTTCATCTTAATTGCTTGTCATGTCCTTGCCTTCATGCATTTGCATACGACTGAGCACTGCCGGCCACCATTCCATTATGCCATTGTCTGCATTGGCCTGTGTTGGTTTTCCAGTCAGCCGCACTTTTTGCATTTAACATTCAAGTTATGAAAAATATTTTTGCCTTGCCTGCTCGCTTTGTTCGAGGCCTTTGCGAGCATTTCACATGCGGGTACGGCTGTCGGCCAACAACCAACGGCTATTGCTTTATTGCGAATTTTATTGTTTTGTGGTTCACGGCAATGGAAATGTGAAGCATAAATATTTGCTCAGAGCTTTGTGTGAGGAATGCTCCCGGTCCGGCTGTTTCGGTTTATTTATGCACTTGTCAAAATGTGACTGAGATTCTGGCTTAAATATGCAGCTCGTAGAATGACTGCAATGCTCGAAATGTGTGTGTGTGGCTCTTTGTTGACTGTTTTGTTTCTAGAGTGTTATTTTTAAAATGTATTTGAGCCTGTGGGGCATGAATTAGGTGCAGGAATGAAGTGAAAAACATGATTCTAAATAGCTGAAAAATACAAGATTTCTTACCTATAAGCCACAAAAACAAGAGTCAATTAACCTTTATACTTTCATGCTTTCCCAAGCATATATCCACATATTTGATTATTTTTAAAACTAGTTAAGAAACTTCACAGACCACAAACTTAAAAGCTAAGACCCTCTGCCAATTAGATGTAGACCACATAAGCCAGCAATTTTGTTGAACAGTACAAAGGCTTTGAAAGTTGTTCGAAACATTTGTAGTAGGTCGGGCATGCGAAAATGTTATTAATTTAAAGCAATGTGAATTACGTTAAACAAACTAAGTCGGCTTGCTCGTATTTAGCCTGCCGGTTCGCCTATTAAGCTAATGGGTTTGCATACAACTTTGGCCGGGCCAGCAAATAAACCTACAAACAAACAAACAAACAACAAAGTGCACTAAAACAAAGCGGGCAGAAATAAAGTGCCAAATGAACAAGGCACCGAATGCAGAATTACTTCAAATACAAATAAAATTAACTAAACTGGGAACGGAATACAGTCCAGTCCAGTCCGGGGCGGGGCGGGTGCAATTTTATGGGGCGTAGTGGAGAGAGCAACTGCACAATAATTAAAAACTAATTAAAAGGGCGTACAGCACAAGGCAAGCGGGTGTAAAAGTTAATTAAGTTAATGCCAGCAACGAAAAACAATAACAATAACTCCATTGTTGTGGACCAAAGAGTGCAACCATTGCGCTGCTGAGCAACTAATTTGCCACTGAGTGCATATGGGGCGTATGAGTAATTTAATCAAAACGTTGACATGCTCGACTGACTCACTAACCGACTGGCCACACCCGCAATGCAATTTGTGGCAAAAAAGCAAACAAGGCAAGGCCATGACACAAAGTTCACGTCAATTTGATGTAAATTTGAAGACTTTTACACAGAACGGGGTCTTACTTTAAGGGGTTTTCTTCAATTGTTTGTTTTGGATAAAAGAATAAAAATTGTTGTTTAAAGAATGCTGTTTTATAGGCGTACTGAAAATGTTTCTTTTATCATTTATTATTTTAGCTTTATTAGTTTTTGCATTTTTAAACCTGTCGACTTTACCTTAGCCCCATAAACCAATTACACATACTACAAGTATGTCGGGCTCATTCGTTTCTAACAACAGTTTCTAGATTAAAGTTTATTATTCATTTTGATGAAGGCATTTCTATGTGATTCCGTCGTCATTAAGGAGTTTTAAGTTTTAAAAGTTATAAATAGAAAGTGTGTAGTCCGAGTCATATATTCCCTTTCGTACATTCTAATTTCTTTGCTTACCACAATGATGTGTATTGTGGTGTGTTTAGTTGATTTTGAAATGTTTTTGTTAATAGACATTATCTCTGGAGTTAAGTTCGGCTTATTTATTTTGTTTATTTTTTAATTTATTCTATTATACAACAATTGTGGTAGCTTTGTCAATAATTTGAAAATTGAGTCAGCTTTTCTGTTGACTCTAATATCAGTGTTGCTGCAGACTCAGATCAATTGAAACTCGAGGAATGTTTATGCTTTACATGGCTCTAAATGTTAGGCGTTTTTGTAGACATACAAGTTTTGATCAGCATGGATCCAGCAGGTTGCAGAAATCCATCCGTTTATCCAGCCGGACAGATAGATCATCATGCTATTGAAGAATATATTTACTTTTGGAAGTCTACCTCGCCTCCATCTGTATGTTAGCTCGGCTAGTGATGTACCCTTTTATCTTTCGGTTGCAGCAAATAAAAAGCATGTAATTGCAATAATGAAAGCATTCGGATATTTTGTAATGGTTTGAAAACAAAAAAAAAAAACATCTCAACACACATGCTGTAACAAATCTTTTGCATGTTGAGACTCGAACATCTACAAAACGTAGTTACTACACGCTGCTTATAAGTCAAGTCAATAAAAATAGGATGCGCTGTGAATATTTAGCTTTTATGGTCTGCTTTTTGAGGCACCAACCCATAACAGCAGGTACCTTTTTATCATTAGCTTTTATTGTTCTGATTAAATGTTATTAATACAAAACTACAACTTTAGATCAAGCTCGGGGGAACCAGTCTCTGACGACACCAGAAAATTCATGGATAGGTAAAATTAGCAAGTCAAAGTCTATTCAAATCAATTCTAATACGAGTATTTTTATCGAACCATAAATAAAGGTGGCATCCACCACCCAAATTTTCCTTGGCCAGGTAAGTTCTTTATGCTGAGACTATTGCATCTTAAAGAATGTATCTCTTTCTCATGTTAATTAGACGAAGGCAGTGGCGAAAACAGTACAGCATCCACATCCCAATTGGGGGCAAAAACAACAACAACAACTACAAGGCCCCTTACCACAAAAAAACAGAACCCACGTTGTCAGTATTCGAAAAGACCAATTGCCTTCATCTGCGCTGTATTTCGTGATATTATAAATGGAATAGTTGGTAAGAAGAAAGAGTAAGAATTTCAGTTGATTAAGGAGTAGCTCTCCATTGATTGCGTTGCTTACTACTCATAATATATTGGTTTAAATATCTGTAATAGTCGATCATGATCATAAATATAGTCGATAAAAGATAGTTGCAATAAAACACCAAAAATCAACCATAAATAAAATGCTATTTGGGGTGTTGAGTCTTTTAGTGAAACGGCTTTCAATTTCTTTTTTTCCAAACTATTTACAAAATTTAAAAATACTTTTAATTAATGGTAGATATCCATAAAAATGTAAGCCTGTAATTGATTCTTCCAATAGTTCTCAGAACCTCGCACTCGAACTAGTAGCCACAGATATTCATATTCAATAGAAGTTTGCTAAGTTAAATGAAATTTTTTACAATTTCCACTTCTTCCCTGAAATTTTGTTTGTCGCTGCCTTGGTTATTCGCTTAATATGAACTATAAGTATATACATATTTATATCGGTAATGTTCGATTTCCAAACGCTATACTATAAATCCGATCAATCGTTGTGCAGATGGACAGGCAACAAGCATTACTAGATTATTAATTAATTAATAATAAAACCTTGAAAATTTTACAAATTGGTTTCAGAAATAAAGTCCAAAAGCAGGAACTTTAAACAATAAATTTTTTTTATGAATATCAGTAAGAATTAATCCACATTAAATATTTTCCTGCATTTATTTTGTTTGGTTTTCATTTCTGAAGCAGAAGGTAAGCTTATTATACCTCGTACTTAGGAGGAAAATGTAAATAATTATGAAGAATGCGCAAACAAATGTTTCTTTCTATATAGAGGATAGCAAATTAATTGGGTTAATTTAATTAATTAATTTTAGTTGTGTTGCATCCTACTCCATTCAATTTATCTGGAACTGATTGATTCCAAATTTCAAGCATTCATTTTTGTAATTAATAAATATTAAAGATCCGCTCTGCATACGCGAAACAAATGCTGCTTAAGAAACATTTCAGTGCTCTCTCAGTTCTGCTGCTACTGGGCAGCTGCCAATGGTCCTTCGCAGAGGGTAGGTCCTTTATCTTTAGCTACTCGTTGGTATTATAATACAATTTCCGTTCTTCTAGATTGTATATATGGTATAAGTATTAGGTCTTTCATGTGCGCGCTCTCCCGTGACATGAACACCCTTTTTGCCAGATTGGCCGGCAAAACTGTAAGTCATGAATAAGCGAACAGGGCTTGGGAAATTGGTTGGCAGGTTACTGTTCAAAAATTGTTAGTTCAATCAATAAAGTTATTTGTTCAAGAAGCTCAATTAAAATTAAGTAATTTTAGAAAAGATGTCTGCATTTGTTCGCCTTTTATTTCTACGGCTGAAGGTAAACTATTAATACTTTAAAGCTACTATACACAGCTTGGATCGAATGAGTAATGATTTGCTGCAAAATCAGCCTATAGTACGTATAGTTTATGGGGGAAAACAATACTCTTATTTAATGTGGTTACAAATATATAAAAGGAACGTCGCTTCTATGGCTTTTTAATTCTGTTGTTCTACGGCAACTAATTGATTCAGAATTTCAAGCGTGCCATTCCACCAGTACTATAACAAATATTGATTTTAAATCAGCTCTGCATAAGCGAAGAAAATGATGTTGAAGAAACATTACTGGACTCTATTAGTTCTGCTGCTGGGTTGCTGCCAGCTGTCCTTCGCACAGGGTACGTCTTTCGAAATAAGCTACTAGATGGTATTGTAATACAATTTCCCCACACTTAGATTATAATGACTGGGAGAAGGACTCAACAAAAGTGTTTCAAAATTCAAAAACAATTCCAACTACCACAGAGAAACCGAAACTCTGTAAATATGACACAAATGTGCATGCGTTTATGTGCGCTCTAACCCGAGACATCAAAAAAATTGTTTCCAAATTGACAGTAGGGTAGGCCATGAATAAACAAAGATAAGACATGAATTGGATATTCAATCATTAAAGTTATATATTTATTGAACTATATTAGAAATGTTCTATTAATTGTTTTGCTTCCTATTTCTGCAACGTAGGAGGTAAACTAATTAAATAGCTCTGAGATGGAAATAATGATGATTTTCGATTGTGACCCATCGAACAAAACTCAAATTGATTTAAAATGTCTTCCGTACAATTCTACAAAAATACTATACATATATTTCTTTTAAATCAGCATGGCTTAAGTCAAGAAAATGCTGTTGAAAAAATTACATAATTATAAAAAATCAAACACAGGTAAAAATTCAAATACAATTGCAGGCTTCACAAACAATTCGAAACCCATTTGTTCAGTGAAGAAGAATCTTCTATTGAAGAAACATAAAAACTTTTTTCTAGACTATGCATTTTCTTGAACAAAAATTGTTCATTTTATAAAACTTTCGCAGCCTTAAATTGTTGGTAAGCTTAGCTTAAGCGTTTAATTCTTTATTACAGAAAAGTAAAGCGATGCCTGTGTGATTTAGAAAATCCTAGATATTCCCCCTTCAAAATCTGATATAACCCCACACATTACCTGCCGGAGAGTTGGCTGAGCGCGTGCCATTGTTGGAAAACAAACAAAACTCTGCTAGAATAGAGAAAAAGGGAGAAGGACTTTTGATGTTGTTTGACTTTCCTTTAAGTACGCTGTCAAGCACATCGAATGTTTGCACAATGCTTGTAAGTTCATGTATGTATGTACGTGTGTGTGTGTTTGTTTAGTTTTATGTGGCATGCAACATGGATTATGTTTGGCTTGACTTTCAGAGTTGTGAAAAGTTAGTGCGGTTCGCCGGTAATGAATAGTGCGTTGGATAAAAACTTGACAATCAAGGCAGGAGCTACAGTTGTTATTATTGTAATTATTGCTGTTGTTGCCAAAGTTACGACAATGGCACAGTTTTTATTGCGAGCAGAGCAGTGCGCGTGTCAGAAAACTGTTGTCACGAAGTCTGTTTTTATTGCAACACTTGATGAGCATTTTGTTTTATTTTGTCTCTCACGTTCGCACAATTTTCTTTGTAATATTGTGAAAGATGATGGCACACACTAAATATTTAAACATGTTCAATCCATCAAAAAAATTATAATTAATTTCTTTCGATTTTTGTTAAACGCCTGGTACACGCTTCTTCTTCAATATTTAAAAGACTCTTCACGATTTTTTTTACCAACTATTCCATAGATTAATGGACTGACAATCAAATTTTCCCCCACCGGGTTGAAGATTTTCTTCTTTTTCTTTCTACTCTTTACTTTATCTAATTAGCACTTAAATATAATTTAGTTTTTGCCTCTACTATATTATTTTATTGTTTGTTAGGTTTATAATGTCTCTAAAAAAATATGGCTATGAATCGGGACATAGCTGGCCAAATTGCAAATAAAATTTGCCCAACGTGTCGGAGGCATTTATAGACCTTAAAGATCTTACTTATTTTTGATCCTTTCTTATTTTCTAAGTTGAAATTTTAACAAAATATCATTCCATATCATTATTGTAATAAAATATATTAAAATATCAAATATCTGTACCTACAGCACATTTGTTTATTTATTAAAATAAAACAAGAGAGAACGCTACAGTCGAGCAAGCCCGACAGTGTAATACCCTGTACCCAGGTAAACTTCCGTCACTGAGTTATATGCGCCCATAGCAGCAGCAAAAAGAGGAAAAAGAAGAGCGAACTTGTTGCTGCAGTTTGGGGGGGTTGTACTGGCGAGAATTTGTTTCGCTAATAACTTTTCTTAGAATTGACCGAATTGAATAAAATGAACAACAGTAGACAATTATATATAAATTATGTGTGCAAAGTTTGGTTTAGGTAGCATTTGAATTGTGGACGCTATTGACGAAATTCTGCAGCGGGGGAAGGGGGGGAAAATTAAAAAAAAAAAAATAAACTCGTCCTTACTCGGACCTAGGAGAATCTGGATGCCAACTTTGGTTATTCTAGCTTTTATAGTTTCTGAGATCCTCGCGTTCATCCAGACGGACAAACGGACAGACGGACAGACGGACGGACATGTCTAGATCGATTTCTCTCGTCATGCTGATCAAGAATATATATACTTTATGGGGTCGGAGATGCTTCATTCTGTATGTTACATACTTTGCACAAACCTAATATACCCTTTTTACCCTACGGGTACAGGGTATAAAAAGTGTAAAAAAAAGTATTACCTTTCGCAAGACATTTCAAAAAGATTTTTCGCGACTTTTCAAAAAAGCAATTAATTCAGGAAATATTGTAATGCCACTTCAGACAGGTACTTGTATATATAAAATATATATTTCTTGTCCAAAATGGGATTCCCTCGGGGTTTTGTTCCACGGCCGCTCGGGGTATATTTCAAATTGATTCGTTAAGTTAGTTTTCTCTACAGAAGAACTATTGGGAAATACTGATTTTTTTAACGATATTTAAATCATTGAATTATTCTCTAAAGCAACACAATTTTCTAATATTATCATTAACAACTTACTCAGAAATTGGTCCAACTTCCTGATATACCGACACATAGACAATTCTACTTGGCTGTTGTAAGTATTGTACTTTTTTATAACTTTCACAATCACGTCGGCTTGCGTGAGCCAGCACGCAGATTCAAGCGCAGTCCCTGCTGCCAGCAACCAGTGCCAAGTCAAAGAAACTGCGCTGAGCTGATTGCTTGCCCTCGAGCCACATTTCATTTCCGGTTTGCAATCACACTCCCACATACACATGCACACACACACACATGCTCGTACATGTCAGCACATGCTGGCAGAAACGCATATTGAAAATGTTTGGCCATTGAACCAACCGACACAGACAAATGTGCGAGTTGAGCAGCTGATTGAATGACATTACTTTGTAACTGACTGAGAGCGAATGAAAACCATTGACAAACCATCTGTCTGTCCGACTGTCTGTCTGTCTGGCTGACTGTCTGAATAGCGGGCACGGGCACTACAGATAACAGTGAATGCATTCATTTTCCCTGGCCAGCCACTCGATGGGCGCGCAATTGAATCAGAGTGTCGCCGAACGCTTTCATATGCTTAATTGAAAATTGCCTTGCACACAACTTCAATGAGAATTTCCATCACACAAGTGGCACACCAGTGGCATGGGAACGAGGTTATTGAAGCGACTTCCTCTCACTAGTCGGCCAAAATGGGAGATGGAGTCTTGCTATCGGCGCGTTTACACTTCAACGCCAGTCTCCCGTTCACTTGGTAAGCATATATTCATGAGCTTTTTTTGCGCGCTTACTAAGCCAACAACAAGCTAAATTAGGCATGAGTAATTGGCCCTAAAAAGATTGGAACAACAGCAACAGCATTATAAAATGGCCGCCTGTCAGCTACCATTCGTGGCATTAACATGCATTCCCTTTAATCCAGCGGCGCATTTTAAATAAAGGCTGTGCCTCGGCCTGTGCCTATGCCTTTGCCTTCATCATCTTTCTGTTGCAGCCAGCTGCTAATTACTTTTTTAATTAAACGCGCCGCTTTGTTTTATGCGCTCTCTGTTTATTTTGTATGTAAATTGCGGCAACTTTTTGGGGAAACCAGCGGGCATAGCTGGGAACCCCTTTTGGTATGCAACGCATTTTTTCGTATCGAGTCTCCTTCCCTCTATGCCATAAGTTCTGGTTACAATTTCGATATTTGCTCTGCCTATTCGCCATAGCATTCACACGTGCGTGTTTTACATAATGCGAATGCTACAGCAACAACAACAACAACTACAACAATAATGGACAAACGGAGTGCAGCATGCGTTGCTAATGAAAGCAAAACGTAGTCGTTCAACAGTACCAACTCGTATACTCGTGTATAGGCTGGCCCGGCCCCGAACATTGTCAACATTTCTCAACATAGATTAGTCGAGTGTGCCACTAGCATCGAGTCAGGCATCCTGAGAGCAACGAGAGTAGCTTGACAAATTTGTATACCAGATAGTTTTCTTTTCGAAATATATATAGTACATATATTTTTATTTACAAGTATATACAAATTTTATTTTTAGTGAGTCACCTTTCAAATGAATATCGGCTATATAAGATGGTTGTTTACTCATTAAATTATTATTAATCATATTAAATCAATTGGGTCTGAGGTGTAGATCTTATTTAAAAGGTAGAGATTTCATTCTTTAATATAAAATTGAAATACTTACTTACTTTTCCATATATTATAAATACTTCATTAAGAAAGTTTGGTATCATATTTAACAATCTGGAAATAAATAAGACACATAATTAACTTCTACAAACGACTCAAATTTCAGGGGCAGGAAAAATAATATTTAAAAAAGGAAGAGTTTCTGGACTGCTGGCGAATAAACTTAATTTGTATATTCCTTTTGTTTCCTATTATTTGGAATTATTATTATTATTATATTTTTATTTTCTTAATTTTTGTATCATCCTGTATTATTTGTCAACTTATCAACTAAATAAATAAATTAATCTTTTTACACCATTTTTTTTTACAATACAGTGCGATCTTCGCACTATCTTCACATTGCGATTTTTGTAATACCATATCTTTAGGCAGATGCAATACTACAACTGTTGTTTTCCAGAAGTGTACTAATTGTTAAGGTTTCACAATAAATTCCCAACAAACCTTGGCCACACTAATCAGTAATCAGTTGGCAACCCTGGTCGGTCTTCTCTATCCAAAACATTATACTCGTAAAAAAAGAACTTTTACTTTTACTTCTCGCAGATATTTCCGAGAAACTCTCAAACCGACCCCTGCTTGAGGACAAAGAGCAAACTTGTTGGGTAAACTAGATTGTCAGCTTGTGTGTGTGTGTGCGTGGCATATAATATGTTTGTTTGACTTTAATCAGGCATAAACGGTCCTGGACACTAACAGCACAGTTATGCAACTGAGGCGTCGCCGCACTTTAGAGCATTTACGAGATTTGTTGCTAATTTGCATAAGTTTGGGGAACGAGCATTCAAGCTTAGCTCGTATCTTTGCTCTCATGAATAGCTAAATAGTTTGATGGTAGAACAAAAATCAAATTATACAGTCCTTCTAGGCCGTACCTCTTGTTTGGACTACCCGTTGTGAAGCTCTGGATTACTGGAGGAAGAAGACTTGCCGTGAAAACGAATGGGTCGTAGTCTCATTGAGCTATAACTCAAGCCTACATACAGACAATAGGAGCAATACATAAACATAAACAGCTTTCGGCCGAGTCTCAAACAAATTTCAGAGAAAAAAATACGGCTGAAAAATGGACACTTCGCAGTCAATTGTCCTGACCGAGGAGCAAATTGCCGAATTCAAGGAGGCCTTTGCACTGTTCGACACAGATGGCGGCGGCACCATTACTGGCAAGGAGTTGGGCACAGTGATGAGGTCCTTGGGCCAGAACCCCACAGAGGCCGAGCTGAAGGACATGGTGAATGAGGTCGATATAGATGGCAATGGCGAAATAGATTTTGAGGAGTTCTGCCAGCTGATGGCTCGCATGATGACCACCGGCGATAATGACGAGGAAATCCGTGAAGCTTTCAAAATTTTCGACAAGGACGGCGATGGCTTCATAAGTCATAACGAGCTGAAGGAGGTGATGATCAACCTGGGCGAAAAAATGACCAACGAGGAAATCGAAGAGATGATACGCGAAGCAGATGCCGATGGAGATGGCATGATTGATTACGAAGAGTTCGTTGCTATGATGAAGCAGACTTAGGCTGACGAGATGCTGCTCGAGATGGCGGTGGGGTTGGCGCTGCTAAAACCATCACTATACATAGTTTAGTTTTTTTTTCGTCGTTAACAATAAATAGACCTGAAATTTAAGTGCAATAGCCAAGACAAACAGAGTGCGTTTTTTGTCTGCCTCACCACCGCCCGCCTGCCTAGTCCCCGAAAATGGAAGATAACTTCGACTTCAGTTCACCGCCCGCGGAACGTCAGCGAACGATTCATGCCCATACGCTGACCGACGAGCAGGTCAAGGACCTAACCGAGGCCTACAATCTTTTCGATCAGGAAAATACGGGCATGATTAGCGTCAGGCAGCTGTGGCAGTGCATGAAAGCCGTCGCTCATGTGCCCACAGATTTGGAGCAGACCGAAATACTCACAGACTTCGATCCCGACAATACAGGGGAGTTGACTTTAAGTGACTTTCTGGCTATAATGTCGCGACGATACAGAGATATGACGCCCGAAGACGAGGTGATACTCGCCTTCAAAGTGTTCGACAAGGAGGGCAATGGATACATATCTGAGTCCGAGTTCCGACACATTATGACCAATCTGGGCGATAAGATGTCCGAAGATGACGTCGAGGAAATCATTCGCGACGCGGATTCAGACACCGAGGGCAACATTAACTATGTGGCTTTTGTCGCAATGATGTCGGAGCGGTAGGGGGATGGTTCGGGCAGGCAAAGTAGCTGGCGATTCGTATATCATAGTTTCATTTCCCAGTTCGAAAGCACCAGTAGCACGAACAAAAAGTTCAGATAAAAATTTTCTCAAAATGGCTGACCTTACCAATGAACAACTGGTCGAATACAAAGAAGCTTTTAGCGTCTTCGACAAAGAGGGAACCGGCAACATCTCTACAAATCAACTGGGAACGGTAATGCGCTCCTTGGGGCACAACATCAGCGAAACCGAACTTCAGGAACTTATCATGGAGGTGGACGTAGACGGCAATGGCGAGATAGATTTCAACGAGTTTTGCTCAATGATGTCCAATTTGATGCGCGAAACAGAATCCGAGGAGGAGTTGCGCGAGGCATTCAAGATTTTCGATCGAGATGGTGATGGGGTTATCAATGCTCCCGAGCTCCGTTCGGTGATGATTAGCTTGGGCGAGAAGTTGACGGATGAGGAGATTGACGAGATGATACGCGAGGCTGATAACGATGGCGATGGTGTTATTAACTTTGAAGACTTTGTCTGGATTATCAAACAGAAGTGACGTGCGACACTTCTGGGCCAGTTGTTGGTGTTTCAAATTTCAGTTCATCCATACACTGCAGTTTATAACTTTTGGCGTTTTTTGTATTGGCATAGATCGTTAAATTAAAGAAAAAACACTTTTAATCGAAGGGTGAGTTTGGGGCGTCAATAAATTCTTTCCAGTTTCTTCAAAGACTCTTCAAAACCTCAAAGAAAACGTACATTCCTCATCCATTGCTGTTTATCTCGTCCTGCTTAGTTGTGACAGCACCTCCTGAGGGACTATGATGATACCATATCTGAAAATACTTAAGCTTGCTTTCCACCCATGTAAGTTTGGAATTTTCAGAGCCACACAAAAATAATAAAAAGCTTAAATTGCTAATACTACTTAATTCGTTAACGTTGTCATCTTTGAAATTGCTTGCCGGCGGATAGCTGGAGTTTTCACTTAAGACTGATTAAGTGCATGAATATAAAATAGATATCAATATTAAACAGCCACTTCATCAACAAATCGTTGCTGAATATTTAATCACTGTTTCTTTGATAGTCCTATAAATAATTTATTGAAGTGCCCAAATAAAGTGTGAATTACAAAATGATTGATTATGAACTAAATGCAACATTGGAAGAAATATTCACTGCAAATATTTGTATTCAAGTTCGTCAAAGTATTTTAAAATATTTGATGCTTCAAGCTTAATTTTTTCATCAAAATATTAATTTATTTGCACGTTTCACATTAAAATCAGTACTTGTGCAAGCCAGTAATGAAAATTATAGCAAAGATAAAGTATGATGTCAAATATTGCCAAAAAATAAGAACGGTATTTAAATTATGATTAATTGAAACAGTTACCGTCTTCTTTATAGAAAGCATTATTTTCTGAGACTATTATACCCCACTCGTTAATAATTGTAAGCCATTCTTTACAGATTTGATGGCTCAGAAAGTTCAGTTTGTAAATATGTTTGTTAAAACAAGTTTAAAAATTGCGTAAATATTAAAAGGTTGTCATATTTGCAGTTAAGCTATTATGTGACAAGAGTAATTGACGAAGAGCAGCTTTTAACTTAACTAAGACACGTTAATGGTGAATGGCTTTATGCTGTTAGATGGTTTATATGTTAGGAAGACAACAACATTTCAAATGGACTCGGCAAATCCTTGAAATAGACCATGAACATATCTATTTAGGAGAACATTTCGTTTACGCACAGCATTTCCATTGCTTTTTGCTCAAAACAATTGTAATTTTGTAAAACTGAAGGAAATTACGTGCAAATTATTTGTCTGCCTGTCCATAGCCTAAGTCTCCCGGCTTGCCAGCCTTGTTACGAGCTAAAATTTAGGATACTAGCACATATCTGCCTGGCAAAAGCCACAATCGCATCATCATCATCACAGTCTTGCTTCTCAGGCAACCTGATCATCATCAACATCAACATCAACGTTGTCAGGAACACAAAGTCTTGCTCTTATTAGAGCAAATTTTATGCTTCGGTTTTTGTGGTCTGTTGCTCTGAATATGCAGACCACCTCCAGTCGCCCCCCTATTTCACAGAATTGGGCAAAGATTTCTGGTAGCTACTCGCCACTGTGCTTTCCATACATATGTGGGCTGCCGTCCTCACCTGAGCAGCACTAAGTAAGTCACCTTTGTGGTGTGCGAACAATTTTCCTGTTGCTTAAATTCAATTTGCGTATGCATTAAAATTAATTTTTATTGTGGCCCCGACAGCACACGTCTCTCTGTGGGATCTCACGCTGTCTGTTCCACAGCTTCACGGCCTTATAAATATTAAATTATGTTTTTGGCAAGCAACAACATTATGCGATAGCGGCATGGCTCCAAACTTTAGGGAACTGTAATGTAAAATGTCAAAATGCCAACTTGCTTAATTGAAAAGTACTGAACTAGTGAGAGCGATGCAAAAGCTACAAAATTAAAAAAAAATATCAAAACTGAATGCGATACTGAAGCTGCAAGTGTAAATGATCCCGACACTCGGTTGGCCATTGGTCGTCGCTCGTTCGTCGCTGTCCACAGCTAAAAACTGTAGATTTCAATTTCAGATGTGACATCAATAAGCACTTGGTGTGGCATAAATATAATATACACACATTCACACACACACACACACTCGTGAAACACTCACAGCCATAGACAGAGCAGTTGGAATGGCGCTCGTATACCGTCGCTTGCAATTTTGCAGTGTAGGAAATTGAATTTGTGTGTATGTATATGTGTCGGAGTATTCGTGTGTGTGTGTGTGTGTTGCACTTTTGGGCTGGCTGTGCATTAGGTTTGCAGAGCTACAGTTATGAGCTACAGCTGCTATGGAATGGCAATAACAGATGAACTCAATTGATGGTCAGACTGGCAAATAATTTGCACACAAATTTATCGAATTTAGTATGTAAGTATGTCGCGAACTTAAAGTTTCTTCAATTGACGGATTTGCTGTGGAATAAAAATAACAGAAGAGCTTTATTTATGACCAGACATGGCAAATAATTTGCACACAAATCTATCGATTTTAGTAAGCATGTCAAGATTTTATTCGTTGTTCTGCAGACGAACTTCAGCCTTGGTCAGGCAAACAAAACTCACACAAATTTATCGAAAACTATAGTATTTTCAAGAACTTTCTTTTCAAATTACTTTTCTATATCTGCTTGTAGCCTTAGACATACTATACTCTATTTAGGATGATGGGAAAAAAGTTCAATAAGACAGATCTATTCTGAGTGCCGTAGAATTTAGTTTCTTATGCCTTTAATTTGACATTCGAACCATTTTTTATTTAATTAAATTAAAGTACGATCTTAAAATTGTTACAATTCCTGCAAACATTGTAAGCTCTTCTCGTTTAAATTTAGTGAATCTGGCAGTCGTTCAAGTCCTTCAGATCGGACCTTGCAATTAGTCTAAAAATTATAAGTCGGAATTGAATTCAAACCCATTATCTAAAACACACATATGGTCTTATAACCTGCATATTTAGAATAAAGTGATTGCAAATTTAGAATTTTCAGTTATAAAATAAAAAAAACTCAAAAATTTGAGTATTAGTTTTTTCTAAGATTATGTTTTTTTTTTTTTAAATAAAAATCATAACAGGTGCGTTCTTCACATAAAAAGTCCATTAAAATTTTACGAGTATTTCGTAACATAATGATTCTTCAATTACAACATATAATAATTCTATATTATAATAATAAACTTTTTTGTGACAATAAGCCAAATTTTTAAAGTATTTTCAGACCACTGCTTAACTCCATTTCTTGATGAGCATTTAAAAGGTTGCAGTTTATTTGCAATTCTTTCTTAAATAAGTTAAACATAACCCTATTATCTGAATAAAACTCTCTCAATCAATCAGTTTTGATTATCATTGTACTAAAAAAAAGATGCTAGTTTTAGGGCCTATTAGAATTAAGGCCAAGCCCAATACATGGCTTTATGCTCAGTACCGCACTTCTGTGCACACCAAAAAGTTTTCCTTTTTTGCGGTGTGGAATGCCAGCATCGACGCCCACGATGAGTGTCATTTGGAACACTTCTGCACATCCACTTGGCCACGCAAAAAGGCGCAGACAAGTGACGAGAACCGAATGCGACGCCGACAAACCGACAAATGTGCAAATGCTATACAAAAAAAGGCAAATGAGTTTTGTAAGTTCGTTTGGCAGGAACCGAGAGAATGGGGGAGTGGGGAAGCGAGAAATGCAATACGATTCACAATATACTGCGAGCAGTTGTGGTTTTGCCACTCGAATAGTTTTCACCATTTTTCCTTTGCAATTTAGGCAGGAATTTAAGCCTTTGGCACGACTTCAAATTCAATCATTAAAGATAGATAGAAGGCCATGGGGACAAAGAAAACAGTTATGTAACGTTTCATCATCAAACTTTAGTGCGAAAGTAGGAAAGCAGGTGTAGAAAATATTGCCAAAAGAACTGCTGATATAAGACTGAAAATGATTTAAAGTTTGATGGAAAAAATTAAATTAAATTTAAATTCCCTTAGAAATCAAACACTTACTACTTAAAGAAAGTAGTTATTTAAGCGGTTTAATTTAGAAAATATGATTAAAATCGATGAAAAATTAAGAAGAATTCCCTTAATAGTTTACTCTTATACATTTTTAATGCAATCATCATCCTTGTCATATAATTAAAGTTCCACTTTGTATTGCTTGGAAATATTTTTAAAAACATTACCTTATGAATAATTTGCGTGATTAAAATCGAGCCTGTGTTTAATAATAGTAAGGAAATTCTTGATAGAGATATCATAAGTATTAAAGAAGAAACTTGCGTCTTTAAATCTTTTAAATGGAAATCCCCTGCTTTTAGTACAAAACAGATGTAAATACGTTCTGCTTCAAATAATATAATATTAATTACCTTATATACTTTTGAAAATATCTGTATAATGTAACAGAAAGAGAGAGAGAGAGAGAGAGAAAAAATATTGAT